GATTTTTTAACAATATATTCTGAAAATCATATCCTAGCCTTATATAGAATCATTTTATTTCTTTTTTATAGCTTCTTAGTATTTCTTGGTTTATTCAGCCAGGCCTCTATTGATGGGCATTTGGGTTATTCCAGTCTTTTGTTAACTGTAAATAATGCTGGAATCATGTAGTTTTGTTTGTATCTTTTCAACATTTTGCCAGTATCTTTGGCATAGATTTCTAGAAGTAGGATTGCTGTGTCAGCAGGTATATACAAAGTAATTTTGAGGGACGTTGTTGCCAAATTCCCTTTCAGTAGGGATTATATCATTTTGTATGTTGTTGATGGTGTGTGCTGTGAACTCATAGTTACCCCATATGACAGTGTAGAACTGCCCCATAGGGTTTTCTTGACTGTAATCTTTTTTTTTTTTTTAATAACAGCTTTATGGAGATATCATTCACCTACCATAACGTTCACTCTTTTAGAGCGTACAGGTCAGTGGTTTTGAGTATATTCACGGAATTGTACAATCATCGCTACTATCTAATTTTAGAATCTCCTCATCACCCAAAAAAGAAACTCCATACCCATTAGAGTCACTCTCTATTTCTCCCACCCCCCAGCCCTTGGCAACCACGACTCTACTTTCTGTCTCTAGATTTGCCTGTTCTGGACATTTCATATAAATGGACATAATATGTGGCCTTTTGTGACAGGCTTCTTTCACTGAGAATAATTAGCACGCCCTGGTGGCACAGTGGTTAAAGCAATGGACTGCTAACTGAAGGCTCTGTGGTTCGAAACCACCAGTGGCTCTGCGGGAGAAAGATGTGGCAGTCTTCTTCTGTAGAGATTTACAGCCTTGGAAACCCTTTGGGGTTGCTGTGGGTGGGAACAGACTCGATTGACGACAGTGGGTTTTTGGTTTTGGGTAGCACAGTGTTTAAGAGCTATAGCTACTAACCAAAAGGTCAGCAGTTCAAATCCACCAGCCAGTCCTTGGAAACCCTATGAGGCTGGTCTACTCTGTCCTGTAGGGTTGCTATGAGTTGGAATTGACTCATGGCAATGGGTTTTGTTTTTGTTTTTATAACTTACATAATAATAATAAAGTTGCCGTCGAGTCCATTTTCTGACTCACGGTGACCACATGTGTTTCAGAGTTGAACTGTGCTCAGTAGGGTTTTTAAAAATTTTTATTTTGTTGTTGTTGAGAATATACACAGCAAAATATATACCGATTCAACCGTTTCTACATGTACAGTTCAGTCACATTGATTATATTCTTCTAGTTGTTGGAAACATTCTCACCCTCCATTTCTGAGTTGTTCTTCCCGTTAACATAAACTGACTGCCCCCTAAGGTTCCTATCTAATATTTCGAGTTGCTGTTGTCACTTTGATCCTATATAGATAATTCTTAGAAGAGCACAATGTTCAAGGCAGGTATTTTGTACTAATTAAGCTAAACTATTGTTTGGTTTTAAGAAGACTTAAGGGGATATTTCTGGTTTAAGTTTTTTTGTTTTTTTCACTTTTTTTAAAACAATATGTTATTGTGTTTTAGCTGGAAGTTTACACAGCAAATTAGGTTCCCATTTAACAATTTTTATACAGATTGTTCTGTGATATTGGTTACATTTTTCACAAGGTGTGAGCATTCTCACTGTTTCCATTCTGTTTGTTCTGTTTCCATTAATCTAGTTTCCTTACTCCTCACCATCTCGTCTTTGTTTTAGGGTAGATGTTGACAGTTTGGTCTCATATAGTTGATTATTTAAGGGATCACAGTACTCACAGGTGATATGGTTTATTTTGTAAGCCAATCTATTATTTGGGTGAAAAGTGACTACCAGGAGTGGCTTCAGTTCCAAGTTCAAAGGGTATCTTAAGACGATTGTCTTGGGGGCTCCTCTAGTCTGGCCTTTTTTAGGAACTTGAGTTTTGTTCTATATTTTTCTCCCTTTCTATCCAAGACCTTATTGTGTCCCTGGTCAGAACGGTTGATAGTGGTACCCAGGCACCACCTAGTTCTTGTGGTCTCAGGCTAGATGAGGCTGTTGTTCATGTGGGCTGTTAGTCCTGTGGACTAGTTTCTTCTTTGTTGGTTTAAATTTTAGAGATTATCTCAGGGCAGTAGTTTCAGGGGTTCATCCAGCTCTCATAGCTCTGGAAAGTCTAGAGCCCATGAGAATGTGACATTCTGGTCTGCATTTTCCCCCTTTTGATTAGGGTTCTTCTGTAGAATCTTTGATCAGAATGTTCAGTAATGGTATTGGCTGTAATCTTTATGGAAGCAGATCACCAGGTCTTTCTGCGGCAGAGCAGCTTAGTGGGTTGAAACCACTGACCTTTTGGTTAGCAGCTGAGCACTTAACTGTTGTGCTTCCAGGGCAGTCTCTCTCCAACTGAGTATGTTGTTCAATGTTTGGATCTTGCCAGTATAAGTGAGAAGTAGTATCTCAATGTAGGTTTAATTTGCATTTCTTTTATTATGAGCAAAGGCAGAGCTTGTTTCCATAAGGTTGTGAGCCATTTGCATTTCTTTTCCTGAGAACTATGTGTTCATTTCTTCAGCCCATTTTTCTGTAGGTTGGCTAGCCATTGTCTTCTCTATTTGTAAAGCCCTTTAATATTTTAGGAATATTAACCCTTTGTCAGTAATATGTTACAAATATTTTTTTCTCAGGTTATCATTGTCAAATTTGCTTATTTTGTATTTTTTGAGGAAGGGGGCTGGGCAACAGTTTTTGATTTTTAAGTAATCAAATTTACAGATCTTTTACTTGTTGCTTCTGAATTTTGAGACACAATTGGGAAGGTTTTCCCCACTTGTAATACATAGAGAAATTTATTCTAGTACTTTCTTCTTTTCATTTTGATTCCTCATACATTTGGAATTTATCCCTTGTGAACAGTGAGAACAAGATCCAATTTTATCATTTTCTATATGGTTATCCAGTTATGCCAGCATCACTTAGTAAAAAGTCTACCCGCCTCCCCCGATTTTTATTGTATTTCAAATTTCCAATGCAGTTGGGTCTATTCCTGGGTTTTCTATTCCATTCCATGGTCTGTCTGTATTCTTGGGCCAGTAGCACATGGTTTTAATCACAGAGGCTGCATTCCCACCTACCCCACCTTCCACTGCTCTTCTTTTTCAGGGTTTTCCTGTTTGTTCTTGCTTGACTGTTCTTCCAAACTGACTTTATATTCAGCTTGAAGATACATCTTTAAAAAAAAAAAAACCCAAACCCGTTGCCATCTAGTCGATTCCAACTCATAAAGATCTTCAAATATCATCATTTTGCCCCTGGGTGAAATGTTTCCAGTTCTTTAACTATTAGACGCGACTTCTAGACTATTCTTTATCCTTGTCTTTTTCCATAAGTCAAGTTACGTTAAAAATAAGACTCAGAACTGAACCCACTGGCACAGATGTGATAATGACGCAATTTCTTGGGATAAGGCTGATTTTTAAAAGGGTTTTAGCAATCATTTGACACAGTTTGAGCATCCGCAGGTCAGGAAGGGGAAAAGTACGAGGGGATCGGAGTGGGCAGGGAAGGAAGACCTCACCTAGGCGATGGCGGACCAGTCAGAGTGGCGATCCCTCTGAGAGGCGCGGGAGAGGCTTCTCTCCTGCCTGGGCATTGAAGGCAGGTGCCTGACGTCTCACAATACCCTGCGGCTCTGGGGCGGGCATGAGTGGCCTTTCATCTTCCCCTCAGCCCCAGCCATTCTCCTACTTCTAGCTCGCTGGGCTCCTCGCTCTGTGGCCCTTTAAAGCGCCTTTTCAGATAAGCCTGTGTCATCTCTGCCTACCTTTGCTTAGTTTCCTCCGCCAGGTCCTTTCGCCCTTCTCCCCCGCCTCGCTCTGCTGTTGGTTTCTTCCGATCCGGCCCCGCCCACTGGCGGGACCGCCTCCGTAGTCTCGTTAACGTCGGTCCAGAGGCAGTGTCTGATGACGTGTTTTATAGGAAAGAGACATAGGGTGGAAAGTGCCAGCGGCAGGGGAAGGCGAAGTTCAACCTGGATATCCGCCCGCCGAGCCGGGCCTTTTCGGAAGGAGGAAAACAGTGAAAGAGAGGGTAGTCCAGTGCCGTTCCTCGGGGAAGCGTCATCTCCATTCAGCTGCTCTTGCGCAATGGACTCAGTACCTACAACTGTGCCTTCTGTCACCGCTTCCCCGGGGGACCCGGAGCTTCTGGGACCCCTGTCGGTGCTCTACGCAGCCCTCATAGCCAAGCTACTGGAGGTGACGGGGCCCATTCCTAGGGAGGGACCCCAGCTCTGACAGGCGGGTGGACGAGTTCTGAGTGGAGTGGGTGCATGGACTGACGGGTCGAGGGAGAAATGGAGTGTGTCAGGCCCGAGGCAGGTAGGACGTTGCAGTCCTCTTTAGGGAGGCCAGTGGTAGTGTGTTTGAGGCTTCCTTATTCGTTCATTATTGAGCACTTACAATGAAGCAGACGTTATGTTACGTTCCAGTGTGCAGTCCCGAGCAAAACAAAGCGAGCGTCATGTCCCTACTGGTCTGTTTCCCAAAACCCTCGGTACTGTGGGGGAATGGGGCCAGTATGATGGTTAGTTGTGTTTTTGTAGAGGGCAGTGAAAAGCAGAAGAGGGAAGAAGCAGGCGGGTGTTTAATGTACTGTCTTGCAGGAAACATTTCGAATTAAGGCACTGAGTTTTATATAAGACAGTTAAGTTCCAAGAAGTCTGTCTAGACCAGTTATCAGGAGCGGTCTGAACTTACTTACTTACTTACTTAGCGGTATGTGATGGGCCTGTTGCGAACTGAAAGTATATGCTCAGTTAAAGACATTCAGATTCAGAACGTTTAAAAATACTGGAAGTCAGACAAGAAATATGAGGCTGCCATTTCATTCTTGAAGCATTGAGAGCCATTGAAGATTTTTGAGGTTGATTTGGAATTTTTATGGATTACTATTTGTGATTGCTTTATTGTAAATATTTTTAAGGCTTCCCATTATTTCTAATATTTATATTTCAGCTAGTTGCTACATTGCCTGATGATGTTCGCCCTGGGCCTGATTTTTATGGACTGCCGTGGAAACCTGTACTTATCACAGCCTTCTTGGGAATTGTTTCATTTGCCATTTTCTTCTGGAGAACTATCCTTGCTGTGAGTAGATTACGAGAGATACTGTATAATCACTGGCCCTTTTCTTTCTTTTTCAGTTACTAACACGAACACAAACTAATGCTTGTAATCTAAGCTAACATTGTAAAATAATCTAATCTAATCTTCGTTGGTAGACTTCGGTGAACTAGACAATAAGTGTCTAAATCACAATGGGAAAACTTCAATTTATAAATCCCTCATATGAAAACTTAAAAATTAAGTTTAAAACTTAAAAATTAAGATGCGCATGTATATATGCTGTTAGTAGAATTGGGAACTCTTACTGCCATCTAGAAAAGCAGTTTAATAATGTGTACTAGAAGCCTTGAAAACGTTTATATCATTTTATACAGTATAATACCATATTTAGTAATCTATTCTGAAGAAATAACCAATCGTGCATTAAAGATCTTCTACAAGGACATTCAGTGGAAGAGTATTTGTTACAGTGAAAACTTGGCAGCAACCTAAATGATCCACAGTAAGGGAATTGTTAAATTATTGTATATCAGTATAGTAGAGTAATAGGTAGTTCTTAAAATTTATGTTTTTCAAAGACATTGGGGCACGTAAAATGCTCATGATTTAATGTTAAGTGGACAAAAGGAGAAATCAATACTTTAAAGTATAAATAAACTATATATTCTTATATCTTACACATACAGAAAAAAAATGCTGCAAGGAAATACCACAAAATGGTAAAAATACTTGTATCTAGGAGATGAGGTGATTTTTATTCTTTTTCCTGATATAAATTTGTTTTCTAAATTTTCTGATTTGATCATGTGCTATTGTGCTCGGAAAATGTCTTTTTATTCAGAAATACAGATTATGTAGTATCCAGAGACACTATTAAAATGTTTATTCCTTTGAGTCATTTTTCTGTGCAGAGTTACCTTTCACACTTATATATATGTATGTATACTCATACATATGCATACTTATGATTGTACTATTAGTATGTCATTCTGAGTCTATTTTTTAAACTCATGCATTTTTTGAGTTCTTACAGATTTTGAGACAGTTACTGTATTTTTTTTGCAAATGATGTGCCCACGTACATAACATGCCCACACATGTAATGAGTAGCATAGACTGCTTAAGAAAATAGCGGGAGGGCGGGGGAGTAGGGGTTGGGAGATGTTGCCTGATTGGCAAAAAACCATATCACGTACACATTATTTGCATAAAAATACAGTATTTAAAAATGCAAATAGCTTACTGTTTCTCTGGTTATATTAATAATAACCACCATCATAAGATACAGAGCATTTTCACCCCCAAAAATTCCTTTTTACCTCTTCACAGTCAGTCTGTCCCACCGCTTATCTGTTTTCCGTCCCTCTAGATTAGTTTTGTTGGTTACAGAATTTCATTTCCTGTCAGTGAAACCACATAGCATGCACGCTTCCCTGTCTGACTTCTTGCACTCAGCGTAAGGCGTTCTAGCCTCACCCACGTTACAGCAGTGGTTTGTTCCCTTTTGTTGGTAGTGGTGTAATTCATCTATTAATCTGTGATGTATAGTAAGAAAAATTTTGTCTTGCATTTTTCACTTTTAAGACTTTTTCTATATTCTTACAAACTAATGACTTTTTTTTTTAATGGAAAGAACTTTACTGGTTTTTTGATGATGCTAATGTACACATGCACATTCCAGAAAAAATGCAGAGAACAAAGTACAAGTCATCTGTGCTGCCAGAGAGGCTATATTTCTTAACTCTGGGTTAAATACATTTCCAGACAGCTTTATGCTCAACCATAGTCCCGCTTTTAGATAAATTAGATTTTATTTTCTGTACTGTTTTGTGCTTTTTCAATGTGTTATTTCATACACAATTATTTTTAATTGCTACAAAATAATTGAAAATGTTGTACCAATGTTAGACCTTGAAATAATTTTAGATTTTTTACTGCTACAAATAACTAAATAACTGAGGTGCGAGGAAGATACCTGGGAATGTGAAATAAAATAAAAAGAAGAACAACAACACAGAATTTTAAAAACTAAGCACTATGTTTTGCTTTATGCCTTTGTATGTGTTTGTTTAGAATAATGTCAGGCTAAGTTTTTAAAGCCAGTTATTTTTGGATTAAAGATTATGGCTATTTATAGCTTTAATTTTTCTCTTTTGGAATCACAAAAGACATTCACATAAAAAATACACATTCTCATAGAAAATACAGAAAGACACGAAACCAAAAATGACAATCAAGTAATCTCACCACCCAGAAATAATGATTTTTTTCCATTTTGATGAATTTCATTTATCTTTTTTTCTCTTTCTCTCCTTCCCTCCTTGTCCCCTCCAAATAGCCATATGCTTGTATGTGAGTCACATATGTGTATACAGATATCCTTATATATAGCACTGTCTATGGTGTATAGTTTATAATTACAAAGTTAGGAGTATATTGTGTATTTCTTTTTTTTTAAATAATTAAAAATTTTATTAAATAGTTTTCAGAAACACCATTTGTTAAAATGAATGCATAGTCAATTATATAGAACTTACCACAATATGACCATCTCTTTGTTATTAAACATTTAGGTTGTTTCTAGGTTTTTGCTCTTTTAAGAATGTTTTAATGAACAATTTTGCTTATAAACCTTGGCTGTGTTTTTTTTTTTTTCCTTAGAACTATTCCTAGAATTATTGCTGGGTCACAAAGTTGAGCCAGCGCACACTTAGAATTACTGTTATGTAATTCATATTCTCATTAGCTGATGAAAAGCATCCAGATTTCATGTGCATCTCTATCTGTAAATAGTTTTAATTTCTAGTTAAGTGAGAGGGTTAATTTCTGACAATAGAAAAAGAAACCATTTTACATACCTAATATTTGTAGCATTATTTCTTTTGTACAACAGAACAGGACTAAACCTTGTCGTAACTATCTAGTGCTGGTATAACAGAAATTCCATAAGTGGGTGGCTTTAACAGACAAATTTATTTTCTCACAATTTAGGAGTCTAGAAGTCCGAATTCAGGACGCCAGCTCTAGGGGAAGGCTTTACCCTCTCTATCTTGCCTCTGGTAGAAGATCCTTGTCTCTTCAGCTTCTATTCCATGGCTCCTTGGTGATCTCCATGTGGCATGGCATCTATTTTCCCCCATCTCTGCGTCCTTCTGTACACTTAGTCTTATTACATATCTCGAGGGTGTTTGGCTTAAGACACATCTTACACTGATATGATCTCATTAACATAGTAAAGAAAACTCTATTCCCAAATGGGATTACATCCACAAGTATAGAGGTTAGTATTTACAACACATATTTTCGGGGGACACAATTTAATCCATTACAAACGGGATACCCTGGTTAGATTGGAATCATCACTAAGGCATAATAATATTCATAACCTACTTTTACATGGTGCTGAGATTTCTGACTCCATCAAAATAAGCTTCCTTGTATTCAGATGTCACCGCTGCCTTGAAAATAGTCATCTTCAGCTCCCAAGCACATTCATCCAATCTTTGGGCTTTATTTCTAATTGAGATTCTTTTTACTATATTAATTCAGGAGATAATAGAACAGTAGTATATTGATGACTACTTTAATGTCTCAATTATTTAACATAATTGTGGGACAAATTATTCTGCATGAATGAACTTTGCAGATGAAAAGCTTTCAGTTGAAGCTTAACAGTGGCAAAAGCATTGGATGCAAATCTTTCTGAAATTGAGTATTCTTTTTTTAGTTTCTTGGTTATACTAGACATGTCATTGTTAATACGTTTTCTCTCCTTGCACAATTGATTTTAAAATCATTAAAAAGAAAGGGTCTTTTGCCTGGATTTCTGTGAGGAATCCTCTGGCCTCATAGGACTTCCCCTCAGATGAAGAAAACAGGGCGACTAGAAATGGTGACCGGAAGGAGTAAACGGGGCAACTGTATTTCCTGCTCTTATTGTAGCCACTTCAAAAACCTTAACACCTGCTAAGATTGTCACAAGGTCATGTCCGCTTTACGTCCTGACCTTTGTTCCTCAGCATCAGCGTTTGACTTGGGAAACCTTGTCCCTACTCTCAGTTGCTCCTTGCTCCTGCTCGCTTTCTTCCACTCGGTTTGCGTGAAAGGGGGCAAAGGAAGCTTGCCTTCTCAGTAGCAAGGCTGTGCATTAGAGAAATGGCCATTTTTTTCTGTGTTGGAATTGTGAATGCATTTTCCCATAATATTATAAATCGTGTTTAGATACTACAGTAATACTGAGATAGCATGGATGACTTGTAGGCTGGTCTGAACATCTGATCACCGTTTGTAACATTTAAAAGTGGAAATATATTCTGGCTTACAAAGAAATTAGTAACACCTCTCTCCTTTTTTTTTTTTAAATGGATACTGCTTATATTTTATTATCCTACAATTCAGTGATGTGTTTAGGGGATCTAGTTCTTAGAAGAAGTTTTTGCCCTTTTGGGAAGTCATCATTTCTGTTGTTTATGCATTTTCTTCCAGCAGCCTTCCCTTCCCTTTCAGGTTCGATGACCCCAGTTTTTAGTGGTCAGGGAAAATCAGATGATCTAGCTTGTTAGAATTATTTCTAAATTCAGTCATTAGCCAACTTTGAATAGGATTTCTAAGATGCTTTCTGGTGAGTGGAACATGTGTATCTTAGTACAAAGATTATGCCTTTAATTTTGTTTTCTCAGAGACTTTTTGAACATTCACTGTTTCTAACTATTTGGGGTTGCCAAATGATTTCAGATAAATGGTTAATTAACATATTTATTATGAAAATTTTAGCCATTTCTGTTATTAAGTACTCATTTATTAAGATTCGTGTTCATTTAATAGGCATATACACATCTCTTTAGTTGCAAAATAAGATAATTTACCTTAGTGTTTTTCTCAGAAACTATTAAAGAAGTATCACTGCCAATTAATTGGAAATGCTTTTTAATCTTCCTTTTTAATCCGATGGATTTATTATGCTGAACCAAACTATGATAAATTTTCATTTGGTTATGATTTTGAATGTTGTATTAGGAACTATACTATTTCTATTAATGCAGTGTTTTAACATCAAATTTAATTTTATTTCTTTCTCTTCTAGGTAAAGAATAGAGTATATCAAGGTAAATTTTAGTCCCGTTTTGTTACTTGTATTATTTTTTCATTCCTGGTGTTTGATAAGGATTTTATTTAAGCTAGCAGTAGAGACAGTGACTTCTGCTGTCTGATTGGCTCCTTAACTCCTGAACTCTTCACTGTCCTTGCTAGCCTGGATGACAGAGTTGATGGCGATGCTACCAGCCGAGATAGGAGGTGAAGGAGGAACCAGTTGTGGGAGTGGGAAGAAGATGATTAATTCTGGGCAGATGGACTTTTAGGGACCTGGGGGACATCTGGGTAGAGTGGTTTAGAAGGCAGTTGGTTAGATGAGTTTGAGGTTTGGAGGATAAGAGAGGTCTGTTCGACTTGGCTCTCGGCAGTAAGTAAAGGTACAGAAAACACTCTGTGCCTGTCAAGAAGCTTATGACATAGTGGAAGGTACAGATATTGTCTTAGAAAAAACAAAAAACCGTTGCCACTGAGTTGAATCCATGTCATGGCGGCCCCATGTGTGTCAGGGCAGAACTGTGTTCCATAGGGTTTTCAATGGTTGATTTTTGGAAGTAGATCACCGGGCCTTTCTTCTGAGGCACCTGTGAGTGGATTCAAACCTCCAGCCTTTCAGTTAGCAGCCAGGTGCATTAACCATTTGCACCACCTAGTGACTCCATATGTGTTTTAAGAGAGGTTTAAATAAAATGTTATACTTAAGAGGAGGGAGCCATTAATTCCAGTGGAGAATGAGTAGAAATAATCAGGATGCAAAATGAGGATGATAAATACTGTATGTACTTAATAGAATGTGACGATTAGAAGAGATTTTCTGTTATTGGCCTGGTTAGCTGCCTGGCATATGCTAGGTCCCCCCAATACTGGGTTTTGTTACAGTGATAGTAACGTTGGAGATAGTGAAAAGCTTGACCTGAGTGGGGAATAGAGCTTTAGCATTGGGTAACATAGAAGATAAGTTTAGATGATAGGATTAAATGCCTATTAGAGGACTTTGGAATCCTGGGCACTGTCTTAGATGCTTTTCATAGCTTATCTACCTATAAGATCGGTACTTGTTATATAGTAGTTACAGATAAAACAGTAACAATCTCATCTTCTAGATTAAAAAAAAATGAGGCTTACAGAAATTGCTCATTGTCCAAAATGGTGAAGCCAAGATTTAAACCCATGTGTGTATAATTCCAGTCTTCCCTTTTCTGACACAACCACCCTAGTTTGCTTGAAACAATCTGTTGGGGAGGAGAAAGACATTGTTTGCCTCTGAGTAGGACAATTAAAGTACATTTTAGAAGGGTGTAGCTTGAAGTCAGGAGAACCTGGAAGGAGTGAGGTTTTTCTAAAGTGATGGCAGTTACCTAAGTATAGTGGGAATAATTAATAGAACCTGGAGAATGATATGAATTGGGAATAAACATGAGGAGAATTCCTGAAAGTTCTTAGGCCCAGGTGACAAGGAGGATGAAATGACTGGTGATTAAAAGACAAGGAGATGAGGGAGGGAGGAGAAGGAGAGAGAGGAGTCTGTTGAGGGGCGTGGATAAGAAGAAATCTGAGCACGGAAAAGTATGGTTTGAAGTGTTTGAAATAAAATCCCTGTGGAAATGTCTAGTGAGCAGCAGTAAGGAATGTTGGGTTTAAATGTAGATGAAGAGCAATGCTAGAGAGGTAGATTTGGAAGTAATTGGGAGAGGGGTGGTAGAGGAAATGGAGCTAGCTGAACAGCAGCACATAGACCAGTGCCTGCAGTTTTTTAAAGCTTTAAGAAAAATGGATAAAGTCATATGAATAGTAATAATAGTAATAATACTAAGGAGCCCTGGTGGGGCTGTGGTTAAGAGCTTGGCTGCTCCCAATGGGGTTGCTGTGAGTCGGAATCGACTTAACGGCAATGAGTAGTCAATACTAAATGTTTTATTAAACTACCAAAGCATTTGGCTTCTACTTGTACTACCATCGAGTTTGGTTACCATGAGTCACAGTTGACTTGGTGGCAGCTGGTTAAGCTAATTTGACCTCATTTTGACCTTGATAAATTCATTGTACAGACAACAACTGCTGGGGTAATATGAAAAGCAGGGATAGTGTTTGCCAGACTGATTGTTTCTGCTTTCTCTGTTTTGAAGGCTGGTAGCTTTTAGTGTAAGACCTTCTGTTGAATCATTGGTATTTTGATAATCAAAGTTATTGTGAATATTAAGATACGTGCTGAGATTGAAAGACTTGTGCAGGTTCACTTTCACAAAAATTTATTTAAGCCCTACTCCCTGCTAGACACCTTGCTACTTGTTAAGTGTTGAAAATTTTACATTTTGATAGGGAATTATGTACGCTGATGTTGATGTAATGCACGTTTATTATATGTGAGCAGTGTTCTGAGCTAGTGGTTTAATCAAGACATTAAATTTTTCAGTAATTTGAAGACTAGAAATATGAATCAGTATGCTTATATTTCTATTTCCCCTTTGCAAATGACATATACATCTACTCATCACTTCATGGACTATCTCCTTACCCCACATTTCGCATTTACATAGTAAAAAATCTACTATCCGACTATGTTGCCCATTAATGAGGCAGCGGGCATGGTGGCAATGATTGCAGAGCGTCCCCTCCTTAGAGAAGGGTCTCTGAGTGGCCTCTGGGAAGCTGGGCCATACTGCCCTGTGCCCTCCGCTCCCTCCTGCTGGCGGGGGCAGCTTGTCCAGTTGCCACCCAGGGCCAGCCTCCTCTGTGGCCACAGCCTCCAGGTGGAGGTGCAGGCAGCACTCAGCCAGGGGGCACCAGTTCTGGATTCCCAGCTCCTGTGTGGCCTGAGGCCCTGCAGCTCAAAATCTTTGTAGGATGGGAAGGGAGGAAAGAAAGAAGCATCGGAGAGGGTGTTTGGAAGAAATCTTGTGAGGTTAATGACATCCCAGAGTGAGCCCAACTATGTCTGAAGCCTCTGGCCCGGGCCCGGTGTGCAGCCAGGCTCCCCGTACCCTCAGCCCTCGTGGGAAGCTGCTCTGGGGGGATGGTGAGCAGGGCCTGCAGCCCTGGAGGCAGCTCCAAGAGGGAAGCGCTGACTCAGCACAGGAGAAGCTGAAGTGATTAGGCCATGGGCCCTCCAGTCACCCAGCCCGGCTTTATCCAGCCTTGTCTCCTCCAAGCCTCCTCTGCAAAGGAATAATCCATGACTGGACTCCTCACAGTGATCAGTAACTCTTAGCTGTTATTATTTCTGCGTTCTTATTTTCTAAATTAAAAAAATCGGACAAGTGGATGGTCTGAAAACAGAAAAAAAAAATTCTCCATTTTCGCATAAAGCCGATTTTGGCCTAATGACCTGTCTTGAACCTAACTGTGTTGATAAGGGAAGAATGGGTATATTTAAAGTGATTCCATTTTCTATGAAGAAAGGTGCTTAGTGAAGCGGGGAGGGACATTGAGCTGTGACATTTTACTATATTTTCCCATCTTTGAGAAAACATTTAAATTGGAATCTCATTGAAACAAGGGTTCTTAAAATATTTTTCTTAAATTTTAATACTTTTGCACCTTTATTGCCGTTAACCCCCAATTGCTTTTTAAAGGCATAGTAGTTATTCTAAGAAGCTTTTTATCCTCAGTGCCAGATAACATGCCTTTGCTGCTTATCCATTGGGCAGTTTAGTTTTATTTAGTAACCGTGATACTCTTGTGGATTTTCTCCCCTTTTTAGTTTCTGAACAAGAAATTTCTGAGAAGTTGAAGAATATCATGAAAGAAAATGCAGAACTTCTAGAAAAATTGTCAAATTATGAACAGAAGGTATAAATTATTCTTTCAGTTTTTTTTTTTTTTGGTTGGTTTTTCTTATAATCCCAACTTGAATTATTTCCACCTGCCTTGTAGTTAGGTTATTATGGTATTTTTAAATCATATTTTCTCATGTCATTATTTTCTGTGAACTATCTGAAGCAATCATCACATGTATAAAGCTTTCTTCTGTCCTGTAAGGGGTCACCCACTTGAAGATGAGTTTTGATAGCACCATACTTCATATCTCTGAATCCTGAGTGCTTTATTTTTTATTTGTATAGATCAAGGAATCAAAGAAACATGTTCAAGAAACCAAGAAACAAAATACGATTCTCTCTGATGAAGCAGTTAAATTTAAGGTAAAAATCTCTTTTTTGAGGATTACATTCTAAAAACAAAAGTAAACATAATGAGTAATTGTTAATAATCTCAATATCTTCACTTGTAGGATAAAATCAAGGAACTTGAAGAAAATAATGAAGTCCTGGATGATAAAGCTAAAAGTCTGCGTGTTATGTTAGAATCTGAGAGAGAACAGAACGTCAAGAATCAGGACTTGGTAAGAGTTTTGCTACGTGTCGCTGTAATTTGACTTTTGAACTGTTTCGCACATTGGGTGAGTTGAACTCTACGTTTTCGCATGCTGTTAACTAACATAATAGTGGGAATCAAGGAAGTTGAACCTACTTTTGTCCGTTTTTGCGGAATTGAAGGTACTAATACCACAACCTCTTATTTTTATGGGCCTAGAAAGTTTTTGTTTTCCTTAACCCTGGGAACTTTTCATGTTGCTTGGCTCTGCGCTCGGAAACACGGAGAGCAACTAAGAAGCTATAGCCCAGCTAAACAGTCCTAGCGTTTTGTTTCTTTTGCATAGTTCTTTTTTAAAATAAACTTTTTAAAGAATAATTATAATAATAATAAATAAATAAAATATAATAATAAAAATTTAAATAATAATTATGTAAGAGTTGCAAAGATAGTTCTGAGGGTTCCTGTATACTCCACACCCAGTTAAGCTTACTTACCTGGCCCAGGTAGTGTTTGCCAGGTGTCTCCACCGTAAAGTTACTCTGTTTTCCCCCTTTGAATACAAGCAGTCTTCAGGAGGAAGTTACTGTGCACAGCCTGCATTTAGAGAGTGAAGTTGCTACCTCCTTGAGGAGGCAATATCATCATAACTTATCTGGAGTTCTTCTGTATGGGATATTTGTCTATTCTTCCCCAAGCCCTACCATTTTTTAACTCAGACTAAAGAATTTTCAAAGCGACTTTGTGAATTTTTTTCTCTACCGTTAGGAAAAACCACAGATTTGAACTGTTTTCTTTGGAAGTTTTTCTATTTTCGTTGCTTTCACCTTTTTATCTGGTCAACTACCATGTTATGTTTTAACCAGGAAGGCTGTAGATGCCATGGAACAGTTATGCCTTCAGTTACTTCCCTCTTTCCTTCTCTCCTTACATTCTCGGCTTTTCTCTTAGGCTAAACCTGGGTCAGCTGAAACATAGGCGATGCCTCTGGGATGTGTTTCGTTAATGCTTTCTCGTTTTTATCAGACGTCCCAGTGTTTCTACTGAAATCCTAACAAATGTTTTATATTCTGTTTCTACATGGCAGATACTGGAAAATAAGAAATCTATAGAGAAGTTAAAGGATGTTATTTCAGTGAATGCCTCAGAATTTTCAGAGGTAAAGTGCCTACAATTTCTGAAGGATCTTAGTACTATTATATTTTAGTTTTGTTGAGGAGTAAACATTTATTGTGTGCTAGAATATTTTACAGAAGTGAAAATTACATGATGTCTTGTTGAGAAAGTAAAACTTTTTAGATTTTTCTTGGGAATTAATTTATTAATAGAAGTGTTTTGCATTAGGTTCAAATTGCCCTTAATGAAGCTAAACTTAGTGAAGAAAAGGTAAAGTCTGAATGCCATCGGGTTCAAGAAGAAAATGCTAAGCTTATGAAGAAGAAGGAGCAGGTAAAGAAAAGTTAATGCCATAGATTGTGTAAACTAGAGAACTGAATATTATCACCATTTGAATGTCTTTTCTCAGGTCCGTTTTTAAGGCAGTGAGATGTGAATGCAGGATTCACTTCTCGTACACGCAGAGTCTAACCTGCGAGCGCATGTTTGTCTGTTGTCCAGCTCTCCTGGATTTCCTGTCCTTTTGCACAGTTTCTCGTAGCCATCAGAGCGCTTCACCTTTGTCATGTCAAACACCAACCAATTACTAACTCAAGCAGCCTCACGTGGGTGCTGGATAGACTTTTTAGACCAAAGAGCAAGGGAAGATTATATAATCTGGAGTTCTCAGCTTAGAAGACCGTGAGATGGGCCCTTCTGTTCATGCTGGAAGTGAATTATTTGAATTGGCTGCAGAAGGGTGTTTTGAAGGATGCAATAAACTGAATCAACTTTCTTGAAAGCTCTCCTATTCTCACTGCAGCTCTGAGAGTTGGGACCACTCACCCCTCTCCCTTTAACCAAGTTGACATAGTGACAGGCCAAGGAAGGGCATGGCTCCCTATTCCCCTGTCTCATTCCCATGGCCCTGATGTCCCCAGTGCCAAAGCCCTGACCTTTGGTGATCTGTGTGTTTTAACTTTTCAGTTGCAGCAGGAAATCAAAGACTGGAGTAGATCACACGCTGAGCTCAGTGAGCAAATCAAGGTGTTTGAGAAGTCTCAGAAAGATTTGGAAACAGCTCTTACTCACAAAAATGATAATATTGATGTAAGCCCATTCTCATTTTAAATTTAAGCAGTTTTAAATTTATCTGCTTAATTAAAATGGAAAGGCTCTTTCTGATATCCTTTTGCTTCTTTTCTAGGCTTTGACTAATTGCATTACACAGTTGAATCGGTTAGACTGTGAATCTGAATCTGAGGATAAAAATAGAGGAGGAAGTGGGTCAGATGAATTAGCAAACGGGGAAATGGGAGGTAAGGTCAATCTCAAGGAAGTTGGATTCCTTTTTACCTTTCAGTCTTTAAGTCACTGATGCTACTTTTCGGTTGGCTAAATTCCCTTTTACATGTTAAGAGTTGTAGAGGCATATCCCTGGACACGCACACACACACGCACACACGCACACGCACACGCACACGCACACGCACACGCACACGCACACGCACACACACACACACACACACACACCTTTCTGCATTGGGTAAAGGTGGGTTGCTTGGGGTTAGCAATGAACATGCAAAGAACACTGACTTCTCTTTTCCATCCTGTTGAGAGTTAGATGTGTGTGCCAGAATGCAGCATTAGTTGCATCTTACATGTCTAAGTGGTGAACACTGTGGAGTTAGGGTACAGTAGAAGGAGAAACAAAAGAGCCCTGGTGGTGCAGTGGTGGCTGCTAACCAAGAGGTCGGCTATTCGAACCCACCAGCTGCTCCACAGGAGAAGGATGTGGCAGTCTGCTTCCATAAGGATTTACAGCCTTAGAAACACTGTGGGGCGGTTCTCCTCTATCCTATAGGGTCACTATGAGTCAGAATCGATTTGATGGCAACATGTTTGAGGAGGAAAAACTTGTTTCTCAACTTCATGGGGATGACATTTGATTTTAACGTTCATCAATTCTAGCTGATGACCAGTTAGAGTTTCGAGGTGGTAGAAGCCATAAACCGACTAGGCCCAGGAGAGTGGAAGCTGAAGGGGAGCAGTGTTCACTGAAGAAGAAATTGTTTCTGAACGCTGTTTCCCAAGTTGGCTATTGCCTGCATAGCGAGTGTTTTGAACCACACTTGGTAGCAGATTCAGGGGGGAGAACAGAGGAGTGCATCTTTCTGAACCAGCCACTTGCCAGGTGGAGGCAGGTCAGGGAGAGAAGAAGGAGCTTTAGATCATGTATCAATTCTTGTTTAAGAGCGACACGGATAATGTTTTTATTTTACACACTGGGAATTTACTTTTTGAATCCTTACATTGGCAATTCTCTCAAAAGTCAGTAAGCCTGCTCAGTTGTGTTGATTTTTTTTCTTTGAAAGTTTGAACATAATAATTGTTTAGTTTTTTGGACATCAAGAAAATCTAGAGTTAAAAAGCAAGGGAGGAGAAAGCAATTACAGCCTTTTGTTTTTTAGGTGACCGGAGTGAGAAGATGAAAAATCAGATTAAACAGATGATGGATGTCTCTCGGGTATAATCTTTTTTACAGAGTACCATAAGTGCTTGTGAGTTCTTACCATGACAGACTTTTAAGACTACTTCTCTCTTCTGCGATTTTTAGACAAAAACTGCCATATCAGTAGTTGAAGAGGATCTAAAACTTTTGCAGATTAAGCTGAGAGCCTCGATGTCCACTAAATGTAACCTGGAAGGTAGGTTGCTTCTTGAGAAGGAATTGCTACATGTTGGAAATGATTTTGCATTGGAATAGATAAAGAATGGCTTCCTGCTTTCATACTTCTCTCCCCTCTCAGCACCACCCCCACCACCAAGTTCTCAAGTCCATGTGCATACACGTGGAGCTCAAAGGTTTTACCCTTTACAGAGCAAATAAAGAAGTTAGAAGAGGACCGCAATTCACTACAGTTGACCAAAGCTGGACTGGAAGATGAATGCAAAACCCTGAAGCAGAAGGTGGAGATTCTGAATGAACTCTATCAGCAGAAAGAGATGGCTCTGCAAAAGTAAGATTTTCATTTTCTCACTGTTGGAAACAACGATATATGACTTAATTAACGTGTGCACTGTATAGAACACTCTTTTTTAAAAAGATGATTTACAATTTTTTTCCATTTATACTTAGTATAGGTTTGTCTTTTTTCCTTTCTACTTCATTTTCCATAACTTGTATTTTTCTTTCCATTCTAACTAGTTGTCAGAAATTTTTGCCTATAATTCATTTGACGGGGGAGTGGTCTACAGGTACTGACAGTTACTGCTACGGAAGTATTTCTTTTTTGAAGATCCATACCCTTTCTATAAGGAGCTCTGGTGGCACAACGGTTAAGTGCTTGGCTGCTAAACAAAAGGTTGGCAGTTCGAACTCACGCAGCCACTCTGTGGGAGCATTAAGATTACAGCCAAGAAAACCCTATGGAGCACAGTTCTCCTCTGTCACATGGTGTCGCTGAGTCAGAATTGACTTGACAGCACCAGTAACAGCAACCACCCTTTCTATGGCTCTGCTGTTTAGTTTACTTTCATTTCTTTGTGGTCAGTTACTTCACTCTGATTTGTCTTCCATTTGTTCTAGTGGCTCTCAATATGGCCGTTAAAAATCCTGAGTGATTTGTATAACGTGTTTTGGTAGAATAAAAACTTCTGAAGGAATCTTTAGTTTTTGAAAGTTTCCTAAATTTTGAAGTTAACATAGACTAAACATTACATAATACAGTCATTGCAAGAATGTTGAGAATTTTGAGTATAGAAATAATCTGTTTGGTGTGCTTATTTAGGGATTTTAGTAATCTTCTGAAATATATCTCAGATTTGGAGTTAGGTGCCTTTTGAAAGATACACCTTTGCAGTTCATTTTAAGTTTTTCCTCCACAATAATACCTGAATTCTCTGCAAGTAGGTTGCCTGTGGCAATTGCTGTTAGTGTTGGTTCTGATACTTTATTCTTTGGTGTATATGGCAGTTTGAGAAGGTCTCTCGCTAAAAGCAAATGCAGTTTAATCTTTCTTAAGTACTTAGGCTGCTACTGCCTGATGCCATTAAACACTGAAACTTCACCACTAACTTTTTTCTCTAATCCTCTAATTCCCAAGCAACCAGGTAAGTTTTTCCAGCTTTCGTTCAGGCCACTGAATGCATGGCCTGCTTGAGAGAAGCGTTTCTCATGGTTTTGCTTTGTTTGTAAAGTACAGTGTTCTGCTCCCAGTGGTAATCGGAATTACCTAAATGGCAGTCGCTCTTCACCGTGACACAGTGTAGCATTATTTCACTCACCTCCTCCAACATCTGCTCCGTCACCCTGGGTGGGTGTTGCCCGCTCTTCATCCCCACAGCCACTGTGTTAGTTCAGGCCCAACCTAACTGATCACCTCATCTCCAGTCTCCCTTTCTTAGGCCCCGCCTTCCAAACTCTGGTTAATTTTCTCTACACCTGCTCAAATGAACTTTCTAAAATAAAAGTCTGTCTATGTCGTTATGTGCTTAAAATCTATCACGAATGCTCTATTTTCTTTAGGATCAATTCCAGGCTCCTTAGCAGGCACACACAGGGCACGTCCCCTCAGCTGGTCCCAGGCTGCCTCTCCAGGTGCGTTGCCTACCCCACCCTCCGATGCTTCCAGAGCTACAGCCACATTCAACAGAGTTCCTTCCTGCCACGCTCAGCCTCTTTGTCTTTCTGTATGCTGTTTTCTCTGCAGTAAAAATGCCCTTTTCCATTATTTGCATCTGGCAGTCTTCTGCCCACTCAAACATCTATGCTCCTAAAAATCTATTCTGGAGTGAGTTGTGGTATAAATCAGTAGATAGCCATAGAGACTGGGTGAGTACTCTTTTTTTTTTAATGTAACTCCTTAGTATATATTTGGGTTGAAGTCTACATATTGGTATTTCTATTTGATAGCCTGTTCTGTGTTCATGTTTCTTTTCTTTCTGTCTTTTGAATTGTTTGGATATTTTTGGTTGTTCTGCTTTTCTCATTTAAGTTTGATAGTTACAAGTTGCTTTACTCTTTTTGTAATTTCTTCAATCTTGCATTTGTGATCACTTTCATTATGCTTGGAGGAAAGTATGCATTTTGTTCTTTAGAGACAGACTGGATCCATTTATCTTTGTATGAAAATGTCTTTCTTTTACCCCATTTTTAAAGGCTCTTTCTGCTGGCTGTAGAATTTTGGCATTTTAAAGATAACCAGTTGTCTTCTGGTTTTACAGTCTCTTTTACGGAATCCAGTGTCATTTTTATTTTCCCTTTTTTGAATGTCTCACCCCTACTCTTGCTGCCTTTATTATCTTTTTGGTTTTTCAGCAGTTTTATTGGGAGGTGCCTAGGTGTAGGCTTAGGGTCCCCCTCCTTCTCTCTCTTTACATTTATTCTGCTTGGGTCATCACCACCTCATGAATTTCTGAGTTAGTGTCTTCATATATTGATTCTCGCTTATTCTCTCTGCTCCTAAGATTCCAGTTAAACACGTTAGACCTTTTTTACTATTTCTCCTATGTCCCCAAATTCTTATCTGAGTCTGCTTCATTCTGGATGTTTTTTCTAACCTATCTTCCAGCGTACTAAAACTCTTATTAAATTGTCAAATCTGCTGGTAAAATCATTCATTGAGTCCTTAATTTCATTTACTATATGTTTCAGTCCTGGTGGTGCAGTGGTTAAGAGCTCGGCTGCTAACCAAAAGGTCAGCAGTTTAAAGCCACCAGCTGCTCCTTGGAAAGCCTGTGGGGCAGTTCTGCTCTGTCCTGTATGGTTGCTATGAGTCGGAATCGACTCGACAGCAGCAGGTTTGCTTTTTTGCTTCTTTGGTATATGTTTCAGTTACTGTGTGTTTCAGTTTTATAATTTCTAATCCTCTGCTGAAATTCATAATCGTGACCTTTTCTTCTTGAATATATAAGGCACGTTTATTTTAAAGTCCTGTGTGGATGTGGATCTTATGATATGGATCCCTTATGGGTCCATTTCTTTTGTCTTTTTTAGATTTTGATCACAAGTGTTCTGTCTGTCGAGTGCCTGGTCAGTTTTGACTAAGTGGTGAACATTGTGTGTGATAATTATAGAGAATATTTGAAACCTAGGATGATGCTATCTTTCTACAGAAAAGAGATGAATTTACTTGTAGCAGGTGGCCATCACTTTAATCCAGTGAGCAATTAAGGTCATCTAAAAATGGCTTAGTCCCTTTAAAGGACACTATCTTGCCTGTTTGGTACTCCAAGTATGCAATTCTTTCTAGTTCCAACCTTATAAAAATGGTGCCAACTGTAAAAATGGCGGCACAGAGGAATCTGACTTCCTCTAACTTCACAAGGGGGAAGGAGAATCACAATCAGCAGCCCAAGGCTGATTTCTCTGAGGTGGATGGAGGTCAAACATACCTCCATCCTCCAGCCTTTTTACCAGTTCTGATACCAGCTGTCCCTCTCTTGGCTCTCTCTACTTCTCTGCTGGGTTTGATAATTCGTTGCAGCGGCCACCCAGAACTCACAGACCATACTCACAGTTAGGGGGTTTATTAGGGAAGTAACAGGTTATAGTTCAGGATCAGGAACAGGATACAGTTCTTCAGTCAGGACCTTCTCTTCTCAGCTGTGCCCACAGGCAGGCCTCTCTCTGATCCTCAGCCTCTTGGCCCCTCAGCCTGGCCACCGCCCTGCTTGGGCAAGTGTTACAAAGCTCTTTAGCTACATCAGTAAGTGCCCAGGGCACCCTACTTCCACAGCAAGCCTCAGGCTGAAGGCACTCAGCTCTCTTGCTCTTTGGGCCAGGAAGCCCACCACACCTTCTCCGGCCAGTCTCCTGGTTCTGCTGCTGCCGGTTCTCTGCTGCGCTTGCCACCACTTTTCACCACTTGCACCACCTCTGGTATTACAGCCCTGTGTCTCCTAGGTCTAAGAGGTGCCCAGTGCAGGGACCCCAGGTCCAAAGGATGCACTCTGCGCCCATCTCTTCTGTGTTAGTGGTGGTCAAGTCCCCCCTTTCTGCCTTGGGGATGGCTCATTTTAAGCTTAGCGGGATGGCAAAATTAACCAACCCCCTCATTAGGGTTCTATACATCTTATTTACATGGTCCCACCCCCATAAGGGTGCCATGCACATTATTTGCATTATTAGCAAGTTGTCCAATCCCCTTGGTGGGCCACAAGCACCTCATTTGTATAGTCCACACAGTCATTTGGTGGGAGTTATAACACCATGGTGAGAAAGGCCATACAAAAGCAATCCATCGTACCATACAACCCAAAGCCTATGGCTTTTACTAGGCTTCCCTCTCGTTAGCAGACTTTGACTCCACCTGTTTTTTCTCTGAACCCATGAATCTGTTGAAAGCTCTGCTCAGCTTCTTAAGAGCTCTGCACTGTCTTCTGGAATCCCTGGATGAACCTTGGGGAAAAATGGCTCCAGATGCCAGGCCACCTGTAATTCTGGAATTCCTTTTTCTAGGATCTTGGCCTCATCTGTCTTCACTGCCTTGTTAGCTCCCTGATAACTTCAGGCACACTATTTATATTCTGTCCAACTGTTCTATTTGTTCTCCATGTTCTCAGACTAACTCATCCATTATTAGAAGCAAAATTCTCTCTGGTCTTTCTTCAGGACTATTTTCTTACATCCCCTCCTAAGCCAGAATCAAGGATTGTTCAGTTCTTATGTGCATTTTTTTATACATTAAACTATGAACTCCTTTATTGCAGGGATAGTACTTTACCCATATTTGTATTTTTAGCGTCTTAACAAGGTAACCAATATATTGTAGCTACTCAAATTATTCGTTGAAGTACTGAATGGGTGGCTATAAAAGAGTACATAAACATTTTCTCTTTGGTGTTATTAACTTTTTTTATTATAGCACTTCTGATTTTGCTCCCAATCAATAGAAAATCAAGTTTCAAGTTAAGTATGTTTTGAATCAAAACTTCAGAGCTATGGGCAAAGAAGTACAAGAGTAACCAGAAGATAACATTTTTGAACCATTAAATGCTATTACCTTTACAGCCTGCCTTATAGTAGAGTGACCTCTTGAGCTTGAAGGTTATCCAGTTAAAACCTGTTACTAGTAAGTAATCCCCTGATGATGGGATAATTCAGTTTGTTTTTCTATACGGTAGGCATTGCCAGTATGAAAAGTTGCCTCTTTCCTTAATCAAGATTTCATTGAAATAGATAGGAATTCCATATCCAAAGTGTGGAAATGTTCTATGGTTAATTGCACAGTTAAAAGACACGTTCTAGAAGGCTCTTTTTTTGGCTGACTATCTATCATGATACCGGTCTTGGGCTTAGAAACAGTCTTTCCATGATAGAAATAATAGAAGCAATTACAAGGTCTTTCCATGGTAGACCTAAGGAAATAATTATCCCCTCTGTCCTAATAGGCTTAGTTGCATTAGGTCGATCAGTTCTGGCTTTCCATATTGAAATAAAATGAGCGCTCATCATCTCAAGCACAAGTGACTTGCCCATGGACACAGTGTTTTTTTATATTTGTCTTACTAACTAGTGAGTAGAGAATTACGAGACTCTAGAACATGCAGGTGACTTGCCAGCAGGCCTGAGTTTGATTTTTATCCCTAGATGGTGAGTTTGAATTCCTTTCTGTGGCTTTGTTTGCATGCCCATGAATTTAGAGAGGGAGGGGAGGTGACATTTGAATAGAGGCACTCAGACTGTTGGGAGAAAAAACTACTTTCCCTTGACAACTGGTTTTATATTGTTCATTTCCTGCTCATCTTAGGAAGTTGAGTCAAGAAGAGTATGAGCGGCAAGAAAAAGAGCAGCGGCTGTCAGCTGCAGATGAAAAAGCAATTTTGGCTGCAGAGGAAGTAAAAACTTACAAGTGAGTTCAGCTTCTAAAGGGGATGTCAGTAGCTAGTGAAATTACTGTTGGCTTTTTTAAAAACTATTTATATATACACAAATGGTCAAAGGACATGAATACATCCAACTCACACAACAGAAGAAAAGACATTTCAAGTTAACAGATGAAAAAGCATTAACAAAGATTTCCTTACACCAATGCTGGCAAGACTGTCAGGGAACTTAGTTCATGCACACAGTTCTGGGTGGATTTTGTATATTGGTATAATTCTTTAGGAAAGCATTTCGTTGTAAGATGTATCAAAAACCGTAAAAATGATCGTGCCATCTGGCAGACCCAGTAGTCATAGCTCTGGGAAATTTTCTATGGATATAATTAAAAGAAGAAAAAAACTTCATGAGGGAAGGTTCATATTAGGATTCTTTAACAACAGACTGAAGACCAGTTAAGGAATTTATATTGTATCAACTCAGAATCTCCAGCCATTAAATAATAAATAAGGAAATTGTGTACTATTAGTTTTGATCATACTGTACTCTTTGTAGACCACGTACATGTTTTTACATGTATGAATGAAGTCTGTAAGGATACAGTTGTTAGAGTAAAGGGAACATGGGCAAAAATCATTTAAAATTTTACTCAGTTGTACTTTAACTGATAAAAGCAAGTGTCATTCTTAGGCGGAGAATTGAAGAAATGGAAGATGAATTACAGAAAACAGAGCGCTCATTTAAAAACCAGGTGAGGACCATCCTGCCCTGCAGCTGCGGAATTCTTGGATGATATTCAGACTCTTACAATGAATTCCTAAATGTATTTTTTGATGTGTGGTCTTTTTCAGATTGCTACTCATGAGAAGAAAGCTCATGATAACTGGGTGAGATTTTTTTTTTTCTTCTTTATTCTGCGTGTAGTCTACCACAACTGAATTTGGCTATTTTTCTTCAATAGCTCAAAGCTCGTGCTGCAGAAAGAGCTATAGCCGAAGAGAAAAGGGAAGCTGCCAACTTAAGACACAAGTATGCAACTGTAATACGTATTGTTTGCAGTGCATGTTAAGAGTTTGTAATGCTCTGCCCTTTGGTATCTAGCAAAGAAACCGATTCTCTGTTTCGTATTCAAGTCCATTCTTTCTGTTTTCAAGATTATTGGAAATAACCCAAAAGGTGGCGACGCTCCAGGAGGAACCTGTGATTGTAAAACCAATGCCGGGGAGACCTAACACCCAGCACCCTGCACGGACTGGTAGGGCACTGGGGAAGGGCAGCAGTCTAGTTTTGGTGCAGAATGTGCGTCAATTACTTTTTCTTCCTGTGGGTAATAATTATGATGTCCTAGAAGTAATCCCAAGCCTCACTATGGGGAAAAGGGCCATCTTAAACAGTGGTGACAAGATGGTTTCTTCCTCAGGTCCTCTAAGCCAGAATGGCTCGTTCGGCCCCTCCCCGGTGAGTGGTGGCGAGTGCTCCCCTCCTCCTCCGACAGCGGACCCGCCTCTGAGGCCCCGCTCTGCTACTCTCAGTCGCAGAGAAATGCCTAGAAATGAATTTGGTGAGAGTTCACATCCTTCCTTGCAGTAAACTGCTTCCAAAGCTGTTGTCCCTGGTATTTGAGAATCCTAATGCAAACAATATTTTAGGATTTGGGTCTGTCCAGAGTAGAGAAGAAAATCTCATAATTTGTCTTGGTGGATAGTCTACTGCAGGATCTGCTATAGAATAGAAAGCATGTGTTAATATTATTTTCCTGGAGGCTCCTTTGTTTTTTGTAAAAATTTTTTATTATTGTGAAGTATAAGCCTGTTTCTTTAAATTTCTAGGAGTTTTCTCCCCCTAATATCATAAAAGCCCTGAAACTTTATAGTTTATGCAGCATACATACTTCCATATGTCATTAATATTAAATGTTACGTCTGTAATCATATTTATTTGAAACTTGGTAAGATGCAGATGTCAGATTATATATAGACTGAAAAATAAAATCACCCTACAGAATTGACTCAAGCCCGTAGCTTGCCGTGCAGAGCTAGCGTTAGTAACGTGCAGTGGTGATTGCTGTTCTTTCAATCCAAGGCAGTTTTTATTTTAATTCTTTAAGTCTGTGCTTTAAATTGTAAATTATTTCCCCTCATGTATATTGGAAGATACATTTTTAACAATGCCTTATAGGTCGCACTGAACCCTAACCTCTCCACAGTTGCTTTATTTCTTCTGAAAAATATATGCAAGGGCTCTGTTTCTTTCCCAAGGGCCAGTGGCTGGGCCTCCACCTCGCCCTCGATGGCCATCTGAAGTATCTGGTAAACCCTCTGCCTGTGGTAAGGAGCCTGATTGTGTTGAGAGAGTCTTGAGTTGTGGAGGATTTTTATTCTCCCTCCCAGAGCCTGTGAGTGAGACAAAGTCTAAATCATTTCTCTGGCCTTCAACAGATGCAGGGGCTGGTGCGGGTCCCATGATGAACAGCAGCTCGGGAAGCTCTTCCCCGAAGGTGACGGACGAGGGCAAAGTACGTTCTGCAGTCATTTTGAATTGTAATTAGGTATCTCAGGGAACATTCCACTTTTTCTGCACCTCACCTTGCCTCATCTCTTGTGTGTCCTGTTATATCTGTACTATCTTATTTATTTTTTAAAAAGCAAACTGTTCCCCAAGAGCCCGAAGGCCCCTCGGTTCCCAGCACTCCATCACTGCCTGAGCATCCAGTAGCAGTTAAGTACTTAGAGGTTGAGGACTGAGCTGAGCTTCTTGGTGTATCTCTGGGGAGGAGATGAGGAGCATGACAGTAATCTTCATCGCTTTAAGTTGCATGGCAGCATTGCTCTTACCGTCCTCCATGGCGTGGGAGTGTTGCTGGGTTACCGAAATCTGATTGTTTGCTTGTTTTTTCCCTCCTCCTCCCTGTACTGTCAGGTGATTAACCTGCTTAGAACATCTGCTGTAATTAGAATAACTCAGCAGTGTGAAAAGTCATCACCCCAACTTTCTGTTGTGTGCCTCAGTGTTGAGTGCTCTTAGGCAAAGTAAATTGCCTAATAATTGCATAATTCATCATTCTTTTATCTTTGTTTGGAAGTATGCCGTTTCAGAATCCCTCCAATTGTGCTAGGCAAACCCTGTTTTGAATGATCAGAAATTGCCTGTCGAAGCAATTCCAGCAGTGGCTAGAATCCAATTATTCAGGATTTCCAATCCATTTTCCCATAGGAAATGGTTGTTAGTATCTCATAATATATAGTATTGCTAGTGAAATGGAGCCCTGGTGGCACAGTGGTTAAGTACTCGGCTGCTAACCCAGAGGTTAGTGGTTCGAACCCATCAGCCATTCTGTGAGAGGAAGATGTGGCAGTCTGCTTCTGTAAAGATTACAGCCTTGGAAACCCTATGGGGCAGTTCTGCTCTGTCCCACAGAGTCACTATGAGTCAGAATTGACTCAATGGCAGCGGGCTTGTTTTTTGTTTTTTTTTTAATTACTAGTGAATGAAGATAAATATCAGAGCTGTACTTAACTTGTATATATAACATTGTTTCTCTGGGTAAATCCTTTCCAAGTTCCAGTTCAGGACTCCAGGAACACACATCTCTGAGAGATCTTCTAATCCAAGGGTAACTTCCACAGAGAGTAGAAGACTCCTTTGTTAGAGGGGCAGAGAGCATGGGCTTGGAGCCAGACCTGGTACTGAATTTCAGCTCATCCTCAAACATGCTGTGTGGCCTTCAGCAAATGATCTAATTCCCCGTGCCCCGTTCCCTCATTTAAAATAAGACGGTTATGCTTAGAGGTTTAGAGATCTGAGAATTCGAGGTAATGTATGAAAGGCCTATTGAAGGTACTCTTGACTAGTAGCTGTTAGTACATGTTTAGAGAATGGATCTTTCATTCTCTGTATTCTCATATGGAAATAATGAGCTGTTGTGGTGACTGGAGGAGGGGTTGTCCTAGAAACAGATGAGTGTGTCGGTAAGAGTTTACCATAGTTGGACTCAGCTCTCGTAATATTCTTTGACCGTCCTCTTGCTTACCTTCCGTTTACAGACACAGGTGATAGATAATGTGAATGGTGAGACTGTGTACTCCTGTGGCATCTTTTTAACCTCGCTGAGCTGTCAGTGGAGGAACCCTGGTGGCGCAGTGCAGTGGTTAAGCACTTGGCTGCTAACTGAAAGGTTGGTGGTTCGAATCCACCAACCGCTCCACAGGAGAAAGATGTGGCAATCTGCTTCTGTAAAGATTTACAGCCTTGGAAACCGTGTAGGGCAGTTTTACTCCGTCCTCCAGGGTTGCTGAGTCGGAACTGACGGCGATGGGTTTGGTTCGGTTTAGGTTTAAGCTGTCAGTGGGCGAAGGGAGGGGCGGTGTTGTTGCCCTGATTCCGCTCTGCGTAAAACTGGTGACAGGTGCCCAGGGCCTGACAGCTGCTTCACCAGGTTTCACCTTTTATTGGTGGTGGTGCTTTGGCCTGTCACACTGAAGTATTTCAGAAGATTAATTGCATCTTCTCTGTAGGTTAATATGGCTGCAAAAGGGCCCCCTCCTTTCCCAGGAATGCCCCTCATGAGCTCCCCTGTGGGAGGCCCTCTCCCACCACCCATTCGGTACGGACCGCCGCCTCAACTCTGCAGGCCTTTTGGGCCTCGGCCACTCCCTCCGCCATTTGGTATGTTGATCTGGACAGTAGTCCAGTTGACTTGTAAAATATATTAATCTTTTCTGTTGCTTTCTAAAAAATATAAAGTTGTGATTGCAGCTTTGTAACTTTAAGTTTCATAGGACACTTAGGGTGCTGGATAATCTCCCTATACTGAGGTGGGCAGCAGGTAGCTCATAGCCAAGGAAAGGGGCTGTTCATAGGAAGCCAGAGATACCAACTCTGCAGATGTCTGTTAGACCATCTTTGGCTATATACCAGGCTCTGTAAAGGATAGAAAGGTGAACGAGACACATTCCGTAACTGCAAGGGCTTAATATGACCTCTACACAGAGCTATATATTATACAACGTAAAGCTTATAATCACCCATACTGGAAGCATAAGCAGGGGTCACAGAGTACGAAAGAGGGAAAAATCAAATGCTCACTCCCCACCTTGCGAATAAGTGGAGGGTGTGGGGGTATTAAAAAGAAGCTAGAATTTAGTAGTTACCTCATGAATGTGAATTTAATTAGATGGAGCTAGGAGGCCATTCCCAGCAGGGCAAGCAGCTTGATTTGTTGTTGCTGAGAATATACGCAGCAGAACATACACCAATTCTGCCATTGCCACATTTGTAATTTGGTAACATTAATTACATTCTTCAGCATGTACAACCATTTTCACCTTCCTTTTCTGAGTTGTTTCTCCCCCATTAATGTAAACTTACCATCCCCTAAGGTTCCTACCTAATCTTTTGAGTTGCTGTTGTCACTTTGACCCCATATAGATAGTTCTTAAAAGAGCTTAATGCTCAAGGCAGATATTTTTCACTAGTTAAGCTAAACTATGGTTTTAAGAAGACTTCAGGGATATTTTTGGTTTAAGGTTTAAAGATTTCAGGGCAATAGATTCAGGGTTTCATCTACCCTGCATGGCTTCAGGAAGTCTGGAGTCCCTGAGGATTTGAGCTTCTGTTCTGTATTTTCCCCCTTTTGATCAGGATTCTTCTACGGAATCTTTGATCAAAGTGTTCAGTAATGGTAGTCAGGCATCATCCAGTTCTTCGGGTCTCATGGCAGAGGAAGCAGTTGTTCATGGAGGCAGTTAGCCACACATTCCATATCCTCCTCCTATTCCTGACTCTCCTTCTTCCACTGTTGCTCCAGACGAAGAGAGACCAATTGTTGTGCCTTGGATGGTCGACAAGCAGCTTAATTTTGATGGCATATATTAGGTCCGTGCTGAGCTGCGGCATGAATTTTTAATTGGTCCAGTAGTAAACAATGGAATTTCCTTTATTAAAATTTCTTTGTTGCAGGGAAACCCTTATTTCATAATGTATTATCTTGGTATGTATATGATACTTCCAAGTACAAACCGAGTTCTAATGAGATAAAGATGGCACAGTTGCATAGTGGAAAAAACAGTCTGGAGCTAGGTAGGGCCGTGTTTAAATCTTGCCTCTGATGGTCTGTGGCTGGCTGGGCATAGGCATGTAACTTAAACTTGAGCCTCAGGTTTTGCCTCATCTATAAAGTGGGCATGCCACCAGCTGACTTCTAGGGTTGTGAGAAATGAATGTAGTAACAGGCCTAGAATCGTCAATTTAGATGATGTTCGTACTTATTTACATGACATACTTTTTTCCAGGTCCTGGTTTGCATCCACCACTAGGCTTAAGAGAATATGCACCAGGCATTCCACCTGGAAAGCGGGACCTGCCTCTTGATCCTCGAGAATTTATACCAGGACCCACACCTTTTAGACCTTTAGGCCCAAGAGAGTACTTTATTCCTGGTACCCGATTACCACCCCCACCCCATGGCCCCCAGGATTATCCACCTTCGCCTGCTGCAAGAGACTTACTGCCTTCAGGCTCTAGACATGAGCCGCCATCTGCCCCTCAGAGCGGCAGCCAGGACTCTTCACAGGCTTTAAAACAGAGCCCGTGACTGACCTCCGACACCTAACCTGAGAGAAAGAGTGGACTGTGCGCTTCTGTTACAGTAAAGAATGTCATTGGCTTCAAAATCCAAAAGTTAATTTTAAAATGTTTGTTTTTAAAACTAAGCTGCCTTGGCAGGGTGCGTTTTTGAGCCACACAATTCAAGAATATAATCCCACCCCAATGAAGACCACCTTTTAAGCTAGCACCTCCTTACAACTTTGAAATGTGCAATAAAGAATACCTGTGTTGTAGTTAATGTAGACTATGTAATTGTAAATGATTTAGAATGTCATGAAAAATACAAACATTTCCTGTGGAAATGCTTTAAGAACACGTATTTCCATTTATTATCCTGTTTTTCGTGTACACCAGTTGATGAAAGAGCAACGGTGTTGATAAGCTTGATTTTTTTTATAAATACCTGGTCACAAAGACTGTTATGCAAAAAATGTTTATTATAAGATCACTAAACTTTATCTCTGCCCCTTGTTAAAGTTCTTTGTAGTAATAGTTCCTAAAAAATTGTTTATTAATATTGCCCAAGTGTCTGCTGATTCATTCGACTGTTTTCTCATGAGCCGTGTGCCATTTTGGAAACATGGAAACTCAGGCTCTCAGAACTGAAGAAAGACGGTGACTTTGCAGCACGCTGTCACTCATGGTTAAGGAGGTCCAACCTCAGTCACCTGTGCACTCCACGGACGATGTCTTCTTCCTTTTATTTCAAAGAAGCCAGCAGCCCCACCTGTATAGCATACGTGTGCTTTCTTAGGACCCTGATGGTGGTTTCTGAGTGAGTTCACATTACTAGCAAGAGCTGTTCAACCTGATGTTCTGTTCCTTTTACCATTCTTGTATTAAGGTTGCATAATAGAAAAATGAAAATGATGTATCGTGACTATAAAAATGATGAAATTTCTTTTTAAAAATGTATGGAGTCTATTATCTCTCCCAGACGGTGCCACTGATTTTGAAGGAATACAGCAGAAAAGATCAGAAGAGTGTAATGTTGCGAGGAAACAGTGACTCAGGACCGTGAGGCTTGTAACTTGCCTTAGGTCAGCAACCATGGCCTGAACTCAATTTTTAGTTGTTGTTGATCAAAACTGCTCCAGGTTAACATGTGAATGTTTGTGTTTATATTTAAAAATCAGTAAATCTAACCATCGGAGATTGTATCATAATTAAAGTCTTTTTATACTCATTACTATGCTATGTTTTTAAGACAGTGTTCCTAAGAACTAAAAGTTTTCAAACATTTTAAATTACCGTAAACTTTATATAGCACATTTTAATAAGTTTACGATTTAAATTATAAAAGGCTGATAATCTCGTTTACTGCTAGACCGTGTTCCCCCATTCTCCGAAGTTCTACAAGGCAATGAGACTAGGACGTAGAGCATGGCTTGTGACTGTCATGGTGTTTAATCCACTGAGAATACATTTTAAAAAGGAGCAGAAGCTTCAATGTGAAACAAAATTTTCTCCTTATTCTAAACTAAAGATGTGACTTTCCTAGAAAGCTTAGGCCCTTTGAAAGAAGACAACTGTTTCAGAGTTCACAAGGAATAAATACATAAGGAGTTCGTAAGGAAAAGAATTCAGTCTACACGTCCTCCCACTTAGTATCAAGACTAAAGAAAATTAGATCTAAGAGGAAAACTCCATAGTTCACAGCACTGGCCATTTTTAACCATGTAAAGTAAGATTAAGTCGCAAGCAATGTTTGCGAATGTGTCAGTCTCTTCAGGATGCACAAAACAATGCTTAAGTTAATATAATAATTTCTAGTTTTAAGTAGTATTTTTAATATAGATTATACCAGCTAGGAAGATAGTTAAATAGAAAAAATAAATCTTTTTTATTCAAAACTCTTTTCCCTCTACTGCCTTTTTGGGTGTTTATTCTGTATCTCATCACATTTAAGATTCAGTAAAAATGTCCAGAAATTCCCATGTAGTTTATCTGAGCAGTTCTGAACCAGTCCACAGTCGCCTCTTGCATAGCCATCTGACTGCATCACTTGTACAGCAAAGCGCAAAGGAAGCTGCCACGTACAGATGGTGTGTGGAGCATCCCTCCTCAGTTAAACACCAGACTGGTCCATCTCAAGAGCTGCATCTATTTCAGAAGCCTTCTCCTGCTAACTGTGTCTCTGGGCTTAGTTGCTAAAACCACCTCATTTATGAAGCAGCAGTGTTTCAGCCTGAAAGCATTTCTGCTATAGTTGTGGTTATTGTTCAGTGGCCAACTTTTTGCACTGGAAAGTAAATTTAAATAATTTGTGGGAAGAGGAGGATTCTGTGTCAACTGCTTTAAGACAATCCCTCATTTTGTCACTTCATTCCAGTCTGAATTAAAGCTAAGCTAATCACACGATGCTCAATTTAAGCTGCTTTAATACTGATGAAAGGCATTGGTAGTTCATATAAACCATACTTATGTGAAGGATAGCAGATGCTTGTCCATGTAACTTATCATTTTGCTGTGCATGTCTTATGGTTTATGAGAAAAGAAAAGGAACAGTGTATCAGTCTTGCTACATTTTAATAGTAGGTTTTTTAAGGGATTATTTCTTAGGTCTCGTCAGCAACATCCAACAGAAGGTACTGAGTACTCCACAGGGTACAGAGTGCTGCCGCGCACCTGAGAAAATTTACACGTCAGGGAGGAAGTGGGTTCTTGCCCCTTGAGGAGCTTACAGTCTGGGGATCTGACGACTCGTAGTCTAAGACTTGAGCGAACAAGGAGGTGATTTATTAAGGCAAGTTCTTCATCCCCTAGAGCTACTGTGGATTGAATCATTTTAGAATTTGAATTAATCCAGTCAAACGGACAAATAAGACTAAATTTGGCTGAGAAGTCTTTCAGGCTCATAGAGTTTTATTAGCATCTATCTGGTGAAGAGAACTAACCTAAGAGACAGCTGAGAGTAAAGACGACCTCTCTGGAAGTGCAAGGGCTGAAACAACTTACTGTGGTTACTTAATTTAAAAAGCAAACATACTGAATGGTACGACTAGGATTACACTACTTTAAAATAGGCCAAGTACTGACACGCATTCCCCTCATGCTAGCATTGTTCATTTAAAATAGTGAATATTAAAATAGGTGGGTTCTACATCTAACCCACAGAAAGACCACCACAAATCTTAGAGTTCTGTGTATCAAATATCCACCTTACGTGTACTATGAAAGTTTCATTTATGCCCCATTAAGTCAAAAGAATGTAAATAGTCAAATTATAATAAGCTAATGACCTGCATATTTTCATATGGATGAATGTCAGTATATCTAAATAGAAAATAAATGGCAGGCCTATCTACCTATATATTAAAAAAGAAAAAAAAAAAAAGAGTATCTTTCCAGATTTGCATACTCATCACTGTAAGAAGAGATATGCAGGTTTTTAAGGTTTCACAATCAGTTGTCAGAAAAACAGCAGTGATTCCTGCAATATCTCATAGCATCTGACTCAATTATTCTTAGATTGTATGATTCAGAAGACACTACAGACAACCTGGCGGCTACCTCATGGTAGCTGAATACTCACAGAAATGTGTAATTATGAGGAGATGATTCCTACGTGAAGCCTTGAATCATTATCAGGAAGAATAACAATGTGATGGAGAACAGCTAATCAACACGACTAAAACTATGCTCACTTTTCAAAAAAACAACCCGGTCACCTGGAAAATCGCTGCTGCAGTTTGGGGCACACTCCCCACGGGATCCTGATCTGGCCAAGGCACACTACTACGAAGGAGGGAAACTAGCGTCAGGATGACCTGAAGCCACCTCTGACGAGCAGCCAATCCATTTCCTCCTTCGACAGCAAAAGTGGTCCAATGAGTTCCTCTCGAAGCAGTTTCATACTATCCTACCCACAGCAACCCAGAGTCTGACGGTAACTCGGAAACCTAAAGAGCGTGTTGGCACAGAAGTGAACAGATGTGTAAACTCTAGCACATTCTTATTGCTGTATTAAGTCTGAAGATGAGCATGTCCTACCCGTAAGTGCTGTTCCAGGAAGCAGGGTAGGAATAGTGGTAAATTAGAAAATAGACTATTAATTGCACAATTAATAGAGAAGTAAGAACATTTTCCAAATCTACAATATCCAAAGGAGCCTTACACGTCAGTGATGTGCTGGACTTGAAATTCTGCGGCACAGCGGTGCAATGAACGGACTCACTCTGGCCTGCTGGCATGGGCACGGCTCGCTTCCGGCCTGTGGAAGGGTGAATACGCTACACAGAGCTATGGTGGTTTCTACTGAGTGGTAAAATTCACAGAAGTTCCAGGCTACTCATGTCAGGATCATTCCTTGTGCAAAGTTTGATGTAGATGAAGATAAAGTGGTTTCTTGGTCAATAGCTGCAATTTCTTTCTTTTAAAGTCAGTGGGTTTCTTGTATCTGTAACCACAACAGAAAGACCATTGCTTAAAATACTTTGATGACTGATCTGTTCCAAAATCACCCACTAGATAAGGGGAACTAAGAGGAAAGCCATACTAGTCACCATTTAATTAATACTAATTCTTTATGTGTATCACTTACAGTTCTATTACAATTGGCCCAGGTTTAATTTCATCCATCTCCATGAAAGCAAAACACTTGGTGCTGGTAAACCTTTTTTTAGGCTTGTAGTGTTTAAATTCAAAGAAGATAGCTGCACCTTAGGAATTTAAAAGGCAAAACGAAACACATAAGCCACAGACAGTACCTTTCTAGCATGTTAATTTTCTTTGCTAACCAGAGGCATATGAACAAGCAACAACTGGCATAATTTTACAAAGTAACTTGTGTCAAATATAGTCTCTCTGATAACATGACGATAACTTAACTGTGGTGGTTAGCCAAAAACTGTATCATCCAATTCTACAAAGTACAGCAACACTTTCCTTGAGCTAGGCTGACTCAAGAATGTATATACATTTTATACATAAGTAGAAGCATAAAATACCAAAGAATATAAAATATTAACTACCACAAAAAGAATCTAGAAGATACTTCGTTAGTATTAACATTACCCATGAAACACATTAGGTATAAGAGGCATTTAAAGGTGTTCCCGTAAAAAATTCACAGGCGCCCTGGTGGCGCTTGGCTGCTAACCAAAAGGTTGGTGGTTCGAACCCATCAGCCGATCCACGGGAGAAAGATGTGGCAGTTTACTTCTGTAAAGATTTATAGCTTTGGAAACCCTATGGGGCAGTTCTGCTGTGTCCTATATGGTCGCTATGAGTCATAATTCACTCGACGGCAATGGATTTGGTGTTTTTTTTTTTTAATTCAAACTTGAGTCATTTCTCCTCCCCTAAATAAAAACTAAAAAATTCAATCTTTTGTGTTTTGGAATTCAAACAATAATAATCATCTGCTGCTCTCCTTTTTAAATGTTACCTGTTTCCTAATAAATTTTTCAGTGTTCAGAGCACTGTCTCTCCCTGAAGCCCCCATCCCCGGAATTGCATAGGTATAAAGACAGCACTAAGGGAGGCCTAGTGGCGTAACGGTTAAGCACTCAGCTGCTGACTGGAATGGTGGTCTGAACCCACCCAGAGGCTTCAAGGAAGAAAGACCTGGCCATCTGCTCCTGTAAAAATTTGTTACTGTGTGCTGGAAGAGTCAATTCTGACTCATTCTAGAAAGAGAAAACCCTATGGGGCAATTCTCCTCTGTCACATGGGGTTGCTGTGAAGTTGAAATCCACTTGACAGCAGCCAACAACAACAACATGGAAGACAGACGTCTAAGAGCAAGCCTATACCCCATCCCCACAGTGATGAAGTGTTAATGCAAAATTTAGACAGTTTTATCTTCCAAAGTCCAGGCGATAACACTTAAAACAGAGAAACAAGTTGCCTCATGAATGTAGCGAAACACAATTTCCAAAGAAGCCACAGGGACTAGGCAAAGGAAGTTGGGCTCCACTCTAAGCGGTTACCTATTAACGCTGCCTCAGCCAGAGCGGAGCTGTATCTTGGCTGTTAAACACGTCAACACACATCTAACACTTACACTGATGCCAAAGCTCACAAGCAACTAGAAGGTTAAGTGTCTGGAAATGTGCGCACAGCCTTAGCACTTGGGTCCAAGTGGAGTGCCTCGTCGGTCAAGAGGGAAAAGAGAAGCTCAGGAAACAACGGGATGGGGGCGAGAGAGAGACGGGCGTGTTTAACCATCTACTCCCAACACACGAGAAAGCATGACAATTGTTAGGCTACTAGTGGCCTCCCTTCCCTAGCTGTATGACCCTCCCGCAGCCACAAAGGGGCAGCTTCTCTTCGCCCTCCCACAGCACTCACACAGGCGCAGTCTTAGAGATTTTTAAGATGGCAGATCGCATTTCTTAGTCTCTTCAGCTAGGGGAACCATCTGCTCCTCCTCCTCCTGACTGTCGCTGTGGACCGAATAAGTGTGAAAATAAAGTCACACTGGAAAGCAATGCTAAGGTCCAAACATGTTACCATCATTTTGAGGAAGTGAAAAAAAATTTTTTTTATGACTCATCGGCACTATCAGTAAATAATATCTTTCCTGCATCTTTGGTATGTATGGTTTGTATTTTATGCTACATATAAGAACAAAATATGAAGTGAGAACAGCCTAGGAAGATTTACTGAAATGCTTGTAAATGGAGAAAGTATGTGCATTAGCATTGACAGCAGTTAAAACCACAGTTAACTATAAATAATAAATTCAAAGCTGGAAAGAATGCATAAAGTCAAGTTCTGAATATAGTTCTGCTTTTAGCATACTGTGAATCAAAGTCATCAAGAACACAGCGTAATAAAATAGAAACGTTAGCCCATGAAACGCCCCCCTCCCTGCCACATCAGAAACATTTCTCAAAGCAATAGAGTTAAAGAAACAAAAAATGATTTTCCTACTGTTTTTATTCAGAAGGCATGCTTCATACCGCAAGTCCTTCAACAGTATTTATTAAGCACCGAAAAAAAACCCATTGCCATCAAGTCTGACTCATAGTGAGCCTACAGGAGAGGGCAGAACCGCCCCAGAGGGTTTCCAAGGAGCAGCCGCTAGACCCGAACTGCCGACCTTTCAGTTAGCAGCCAAGCTCTTAGCGACTGAGCCACCAGGGCCCCATTAAGCATCTACTCTCTACAAATTCTTCTAACACAGAGATTCTCAAACTTTGGCGTGTATCAGAACCAGCTGGCGGGCTCGTTAAAACAGACTGCTGAGCCCAGCGTTTCCAATGAGCAGGCGAGGTGGGGCGGGGCATTTGCATATAACAAGCTTCCAGGTGATGCTAATGATGCTGCTCTGGCCCGAGACCCACCATTCTACGGGAAGCCTGAAATCTAAATCTTTGAATGGTGGGAGGGCGGCGGCACCAGATCTGAGAAGTCAACTATCAAATATTTCAGAGGCTGAAGCAATCGTTTCGAAAGGCACTTGGACAAGCTTCCTGCCGTGCTTGAAATTTTCAGAAAGTGCACCTGAACCTCAGGTGATAAAGGGGTCCTGAAGTCCGCCTTTCAGAACACGGACATTCCCACTTGGCATAAAGGCAAGGGGGAGCATTTCATCCTAAGAACTGTTTAACTTGCAAATGTAATGTCACCTTTTTAAAAACGTGCTTTTGTCCTTTGCCATCCTCCTGCCAACTAACTGGTTAGCGGCCGTAAGTTATGGTATCTTTCTATGCAAGGAATCCTGCTGGAGAAAAAGCTGGCTCTTTCAACTATTAGACTTGATTATTAGGGAGCCTTAGGGAGCGCCTGCTCCATCTGACTCTTTAGTGTAAGCACATGTTCATTCTATTTGGTTGTGGAAGGCATTACATTTTACTATCCTAGAAATGTTTTATTATGTAAAGGTGCCTTTATTATGATGTTGTTGATTTCAGTTGCAGTCAATTCTGACTAATGACGACCCCATGTGTCCAGAGTAGAACTGACCAATAGGATTTTCAAGGCTGTGACCTTTCGGAAGCAGATCGCCAGGTCTGTCTTCTGAGGCACCTCTGGATGGGTCTGAATTGCCAACCTTTTGGTTAGTAGTACAGTGCTTATCTGTTTGTGCCCCTGGGGACTCCTGTCATTTATTATAAAACTAGATAAATTCATCACTCCTACAGAGAAATTAATTTATATCTCCTTCAACTCAATAAAACACTGTGGGACATTTACTTCTGCCAGCTCCCCGCTGTGCTTGGTCCACGGGGCACACAAACATGGAAGAGATGAGGACTCTGCCCATAGGAAGCTACATGTTTAAGATGACAAACCTTTGGTTAATTTTTCAACATGCTTCTGCAGCTCAATGTCCACATTAAAATGAACATATGTGTCTTCTTTTCTTGAAGCCACAGGAGTATCCTGCACAGGAGTTAAGTCTATGCCATTCAGATCTAGAGAGGAAAACAGAAGTTTCTGTTTAGGAGCATTTAAATACACATACCCAAAATTTTTTAAAAATGCAAAAAAACTGCAAAGGGTTGTTTCTTTAAGAGGCTTGGAGAAAGCTGAGTGGAGATTTTCAGGCTAGTGGAGACTCCTATTTGGTATGAGCAGGCACCTGAAGAGCTTCTAGTTTCCAGGGAGGTATGTGGAGGGAGCTGCGTTTGGAGGCAGTGCGAGGGCTCATGGAGCCGAGAAGGAATCTTGCCATGATCTGGGAGGAAAAAAAGCTTGGAGAAGACAAAACTTGATCCTTACAGTACGAGGTGAAAGGGATTTTTTGAAGACCTTAGGGAGTAGGACAAGGAGCCCTGGTGGTGCAGTAGTTAAGCACTCAGCTGCAAACCAAAAGGTCGGTGGTTCAAACCCACCAGCTGCTCTGTGGGAGAAAGATGAGGCAGTCTACTTCCATAAAGATTACAGCCTTGGAAACCCTATGGGGCAGTTCTACTTTGTCCTACAGAGTCGCTATGAGTTGGAATCGACTCAGTGGCAATGAGTTAGACTAATTCTTTTTTCTTTTAATTGACGCATGGGTTGTCTTTGATACTAATGAACCCATGTGTCTGAATTTATTTCTATGATTGATAAAAGCTCTTTCCATTTGATTTCAGCCCATATCTGTTTCTTTGATTTGCCTCAACCGGGAGATTAAAGTAAACCACTTGGACTAATTGTGCGGTTATTTCTGGAAAAGAGTACGACGATGTCATCTTCACTCACTCAACTACTTTCAAAAGACTGTTAAGTGCCTCACGAATCAAGTGCTGCATTAAATGCTCGGTAACAAGAATTCAACCACTATAGTTTTCTTCTCAAGTAAAAGACTAAAAAAGTTGTTTTCAAGGAATAATTAGATTGGACAGGAGAAAATATAAATCCTAAAATTAATCATGTTGAATAACCATGGTAATACAGTTAAGGATAAGAAATACTTATTCACGCTTTTAACGTCCCACAGGGTTACACTCAGGGCATGGAGGTTTGTGACGTGCCCTAATCTCCTGCCTCCACCGATGAGTCCTTGAAGGCCTGGCTCCCATCACCTCTGCAGAACTCCCCTATGCGTGAAACGCTCTAGGACAGGAAGGAGGGCTGAAAGGAGCAGGGCTGGGAAAACAGGACACTGAGTTTGCATAGAAAACCACACATCCTGGGAAGGTGAGAGACGTTTTTCACCTGGCTTTCTGGAGGACATAGCTTCTGCTGTTAAAGACAGTGTGGATGTCTAGTGAGCAAAAGCAAAAGGGAGTGTAAGTTATAAATAAGAAAACTTCTTCACAAATCTCTCTGAAGTGCTCAGGGAAGGAGCGGTGACCTCTTCCCAGGTATTTTGCCTCACTGTACAGTGAACTAAAATGTGCTGTTACAGGGAAGACCAAAAAAAATTTTTAAAGTGTCCCAAATGAGAAGCAACGTTATAAAATGCACCAGAGGAAGCAAATGGGGACATAGTTATTTACCCTTTACGCTAACTGTGATGTAGGGGTCGATGCACTGCCCAGCATCTTTGAGACCAATTTTCTCAATCCTGATTGTGAGTAACGTCATTCCTGGTTCTGATGGCAACCGTGGTAATAAAGTACCTGGCAACAGAGAAACAGCAATAAGATTTAGCCCCCCCAATAATTCCAAAGTAAATACTTCAACACAGAGAAGACACAGCCTTGCTTTCAACTGACTTCATGAGTAGCCAGGCGTTATTTTGGTCTCCAAGCCTCCCAAACATTTGACATTACCTTTTCAGACAAATGTTTCATTATACATGAGATAAATCTCCTCTTCAAAACCTTATATTCAACACCAAAGCAGAAATTACCAATTGAAGCTCATTAAAAATAAGCTCACTCCAGGAAACCCAGTTATAGGCTGCCACATAATTAACAATGCATTTAATATACAACAATCTTAATATGAAGTGGTAGAACAAAGACAGGAAAAGCTTTTAAACATTTGTTATATTACCCTAAAGTCTGAGAAATTTAACACCAGAATCTATCAACAAATCCTTCAGTTACTATTGATGGAAAAAATAATTTATAATAATTATGTATTTAATTAAATAATTTTGCAATCTAACTTCCCAATCTTTCCCTCGTCCTGTTCTCCTGGATATTATCGTATTTTCACAAATAACAAGCCCACACATTTAACACGCACAGGAAAATAACATGCGAGGGTGTTGTGCAGTTGGCAAAAAAATATAACGCGTGTTATCTGCATGAAAATACAGCAGTGCTACTGAGACTGCTACGTAAAACCACAAGCGCAAGTATGTTTGAAATCTTTATCCATACATTAATCTTTTTAAAACTAAAAAACCACCTAGAATCATAAGAACATTCCTCCACTGAGGGAAAGACAAGAAGGAAGAAATCAACTGCACAGTTTGTTCATTTTTTTCCCAAATCATCTATGGAGACAGATACAAGCAAACAGTTGATTTATTCCATTTTAGTTCAGTAAGCATATGGTACCTCAAACTATAGAACTTAACATTTACAAGGGACTATGGTTGACATTCTTCAAAATTCTATTCAGCAACGTGTTATCCTACTTTTTTTTTTTTTTTTTT